AGTGTCAATTTACAACACAACGACCAACCACAACACTGAGGCATGCCCAAAAGGCATATGACGCATTCACAGGTGACCAAATCAAATGCACAATTACTTTAATAAAATCTGTGGATTACTCTGGGCTTGAAAATTATTGGAAGCATTTGGAGTAATGTAGATCATTTTTATATTAGTTTTTAAAGGTGGCACTATTTACCCCTAGACAGCTCACTTTACCCCATCTTTTGTTTTGTTGCTCCTTCTTGTTTTATTTTCACTGGAATTGATGAATTAAGACAGATAAATTCAGTCCATAAATCTGTTTTTTTTATCCCTCCAACAACTAGAAATGTCAGCTAACATTGCTAGCAGTGGCATGACATTACTGAAATGCAAAATGTTGCTCAATATTGTGGACGTGTAGGAGAAGCACAGGTGTTACTAATAGCATTAACAATGGCTCTGTTCTATTTGGAGTGTATCAGTAAGCCATGACAGCGAGGCAACATGCACAAGAGACTCTAACACAAGTCTAACACAATACCCATCACTATTGCATTAGATACTTAGGTAGCATGGAAAACAAGGACTTTCAGAGCACTTCCACATTCCACAAGCATCATATGAAGTGGAGGAACTACATATATAGGCCTATATGATTCAGAAGATCACAGCGGCCCCAAATCATACCAGGGTTAAACTCTGGCTGGGATTTTATTTGCTTTAATCACTGAACTCACCCTGCTTATATTTGGGACCTCTGTGATCTCTACGGGACAGGGCTTTAATTAATTTCCCACAAAACTCTTGCTCAGCAAAAAATGAAAAATATGCTACTATCAAATACTTTATTTTAACCAGTATGAATATTTTTAAATTAATATAAATTAGGCAATCAAATAACATATCAAGTACAAAAAATGTCTAATTGGGACTCTGCTTTTACAGTTTTGTTTCAGTTGCTAAGAAAGCCACTTTTTCAAAACTCTTCCCACAGTCTCTTCACCTCCAAAAGTCACTCAAACCACCAAAACACTTCATAGAAAAAACACACTGACCTACAAAACACTGACAAGCATTACGTAATTTGATTAACTTTTATCTTCGATTTTTTCACATAAATCAGTATTTCATTATAGAATACAGTTGTTTTCAGTCACTTTGGTACATTTCTCAGATCAGAATTGAAATTTTACTTGTTCAACCTCCATATCATCTATTCACCTGTGCACATAGCAATTTCTGTCTTTTGAGAAATTGCAAATTGACACATTTATACGAATGATTATGTATTGTCTGCTGTTTCCTACATTATTATGTCATGTTGAACATAATGTATTATAAAGGTTCTCTGTTAAATAGCTTGAATAGACGTTCATTGCGTAAGTCACTACATGCAAAATGGTTGAACATGTCATAATCTGCAAAGCATTTTGTCTACATGTCTATATGTAAATGTGTCCTACAGTAAATTGATGAGGATATCGATTGTGTTGTGAATAAGAATCTGTGGGTTTCCATGTTTCCATTTCTTATTTTGTTATTGTGCAATGCAGTGCTGTAAAATAGTCTCGTTTTTTTATTTTCTGCACCACAATTACATGCTCTGTCAACAAATTAAGGTGCATACAGTAAAAGCGTCACTGTGAATCCTGTCCAATCTCTTGAAATGTACAACTCTGTACTGTTGAAATTGATCTATGCAGGTGTTGAAGTAGTAATGAGAAAAGCCTTCATGGATTTTGGAGAAAGTTGTCATTGAATGCATTTTGTGTGAAAGCAATGAAAAATGATTCACAGTTTGGTCCACATACACTTCTGTTTCGCTGACTGTGTGAAGAGTTTTGACAAATGCAGGATAGCAATTGAAATAAACCCCTGCAATTAATTTGTTTGTTTTTTCTCTCATTCTTTTGCTGTAGTCTGTATTCCTCTTTATTCTCTCTCTCTGCTCATTCTTCCTCAGTCACCAGTTAACGGACATCACTGAGTACACCCATACCCCCTTACCATTGCATCTATAGCGACCAGTATTAAACAAGAACAATATAGAACGCATGTTGAACAAACCAACCCTTATTAGTACTTGGGGAACAGAGGTAAAATGTGGTGGTGTATGCAATTAGAAGTGAAACTGAAAATCCATTTTCAGCAATGTGTTTTGACATATTGAATGCTGCAGCGCAACTGTTCTGCATTGTTTTCTTTGCCATAAAACAACCAGTAATTTTTAGTTTTCTGCACAGACTTTCATATAACTTTACTTCTCAAATATACACTGCTCAGAGAATTAATCATCACAGTATAACATCAAGACAATTAAACTTCAGGGATATCAATCTGTCCAGTTAGGAAGCATAGGCTATTGTGAATCAGTGTCACCTGTTTTGGTACAAATGAAAGTGACAACAGGTGCACTGGAGAGGCAACAGCAAGACAACCTAAAAGGGAATGGTTGTGCAGGTGGTGGCCACAGACAGGTGCTCTCTCATTATCCTTCCTGACTGATCTAGTTTTGTAGTTTCTAGTGCCTTTGTCACTCCTGGTAGCTCCTGGTAGCTAGTGTCTGACCAAACTGTCAGTAACAGACTCACATGAGGTGGGATGTAAATGTAAATGCTCCGTATTTGTATAGCGCCTTTCTAGTCTTTTCGACCACTCAAAGCGCTTTTACACTACATCTGCATTCACCAGTCATACATATTCATACACTGAGCCTAAGTGCTCAAACAGAAACTAACATTCACACACATTCATACACTGGCGGAACAGCCGCCAGGGGCAAATCGGGGTTCAGTATCTTGCCCAAGGACACTTTGACACGCAACCAGGGGGAAACAAGGATTGAACCTTGCGATTAACGGCCAACCCGCTCTACCTCCTGAGCCACAGCCGCCCCGTAACGTCCTCTAGTGGGATCACCAGAATTGGCAGGTCTGACCGTGACTGCTGCTAAGTACCGGTATGAAATCCTCAGAGCCATTGTCAGAACTCACGCTGGTGCAGTGGACCCTGGGTTCCTCCTGGTGCAGGACAATGCCCAGAGTGAGTGTGCAGGCAGTTCCTGGATGACAAAGGAATTGATGCCATTTACTGGCCCTCAGTTCCCCAGACTTGAATCCAATTGAAAACCTCTAGGATGTTATTTATCGGTACATCAACGCCGCCAAATAACACCACAGACTGTCGAGGAGCTCACTGATGCCCTGATGCAGGTCTGGGAGGAGATCTTCTAGGACACCATCCACCATCTCATCAGGAGCATGCCCAGACATTGTCACGAGTGCACAGACATGTGGGGACCACACACATTACTGAGACACATGATGAGTTGCCGTGATGAAAGTCACGCAAGTTGGATCAGCCTATGATTTATTTATATAAATATAATTCTGTTGCTTTGAATTTGAACCCAGCCCTCAATTGATCATGATTTTGAGAGGATTCGTACTTGTCTCAGACTCAGCTGATCCTGACAACAGCCCCGCGTTAAAAGTACCGGTTGTGGGAAGCCCCAGGTAAAATGTTGTTAAGTTCCTGAATTGGAAAAGGGATAGGTCATGGTGACAGAAGTAAACGCTAAAACCACATGCAGGTGTCTCTCTCTCTCTCTCTCTCTCTCTCTCACACACTCACACTCTCTTACCTCCCTGACAGCTGCACCTGCTGGTCTCCTGTCTCTGTAATCGCACTAAGAGGGAGCATGAGAGTCACTCCAGAGACCAAAAATTCACCACACAAAAAGCGAGCTGAAGAGTTGACTATCTGACACACACTGAGCCAGTGTTGGGCCTCACAGTCATGGCTATAGTGTTTTAGACAAAGAACAGGCCTAAAGACAAAGAGACACAGCTCCTAAAGCCCGGACATGAGGCCTGTCTCAAACAAAGGTGTCAGGGATCAAAGGAGAAAGCTCACAACCACGGGTCCGTTAATTTACATTTACCTGTGAATGTAAACTTGGAAAAAAGCAGCTGGGAAGACCAGATGCGATCAGTTTCAGTTGAACAGCAATAAAGTTTCTCACAAAAGCAGGGTTTGAACTGGAAAGAAAAGTGGTGATGACAGATAGATTCATTCAGCTCCAGATACTACACCTTTTTAAAATGTGCTCAGAAATATGAGAAGCTAAAGAATATAATGGAATGTCGGAGTAGTAAGGACACCATCCAGCAGTATCTCAGGCTGACTGTGTGGTTGACCTGTCGTTCATCACTTCATGCTGCTTCAAAGAATGAGAAATGTTTTTAAACTGCTAATATATGCAGAAAGTTCAGCTCTGCTCTGTGCTTTAGCAACATTTATAGAGTTTAGAGAATCTTCATTTTCAACATAGCCAAAACTACATGCAAATTGTTTTTTGGTAGTTTTAATGTTCTTGATATGTCTGTTGATTGGTGACAGTACAGCAGGTCAGAAAATGAAGTTATGTGAGCACAAACTTAATTTGTTGCAACCTGTGGCTAATTGATGATGTGAATGATCCCATATGATTAGTCTCAGATTTTACTGTCCCTCCTCATACATTTTTCCCCCTACAGAGCAAGAAATCGGTCAAACTTGTGAAGAGCCGTCATACAGTGTATTGTCCACAGTGCAAAGCTTTGTGCCTCTTTGTCTATTAATGTCTTCCATAAACTGTATTGATCTTAAACCACTCCACTTACTAAATTACATTACAGCAGAATTACTTTGGTTCTATTAAATAGATTTGAACAGTAAAATAAATGGAGGAGGCCAAGCAATATTGTGTGTGTGTCGCCACGGTAACTGTCAAGGACAGGCCAAGGTGTTATGGAAACATGTGAATGAGGGAATCTCCTCTTGTTTCCTTCTCTCCTCTATTTTGGGAAAAAGCCAGGAAGTGGACCTTGAGTTGAGATTAACAAATCATATTTTTGCATTACGGAGCCAAGTGGAGGCAAACTGTTTCAACTCAGAAAAGACGAGGGCCTAAAGTTAAGCACTGTGTGTCATTTGTGTGTTGTTGAATGGAATAGAACAGAGCAGTCTCTTACCAGCCACAGTGACCCTGGCGCTCTGGCTAACGATGCTGCCCAGTCCGTCCAGCGTGGCGAGGCACTGGTATTCGCCCTCGTCAGGCCGGTGATGCCGTGAGTGCACAACATTCTGCACCAGCAGAGAGCCGTTAGCCAGCTGCCGCCGCCGCTCGTCCACCACTGCACTGAGCAGCACGCCGTCCTTACGCCAAGTGATGGTGGGAGGCCCCGCCACCGCATCAGACTCTGCCTGGCAGTCGAGCTGCAGCACGCCCCCTCGCACCGTCACCGTGTCCTGAGGCTCCTGGGTGAAAGTGAAGTCCACGAAGCCTCCGAGACTATATGAGGAGGAAGATGAGGAGGCATCTGAGGCTATCAGAGGAGAAGAGATGAGGAGGAGTTAGAAGTAGGCACAGAAACATGAGATGACTGACAGAACAGTTATTTATTCATGCAAACGCTCTCCATCACATAGACTGACAAAACAAATTAAACAGGGTGTCCAGTAGAGCGCATTATTCAGTACAATATATAATAAATCAAAACAAAATAAATAAAGCAGTAAGTCTGAAGGTAAAACAAATCTCATAACGTGGATCAAAAGCATCCAGGCACTGGGGGCCCCAATTTTCATTCTGAGTCAACAAACTGATTAGTTAAAAATTTGTTTGAGTGTACACCACTTTTCTCAATGTTAACTGAGATGACCTTCACATGTGTCCTGCTTTACTGCCTGTCTGAATGACCACAAAAAGGGGGACCATTGGTGTCATTGATTTCTGCTCGAGGGCCCCATTGCAGCCCTGGCCATGGCTGTAATGGCTGTAAGTGGAATATAAATCAATTCCAGAAATTTCTGTAACCAAATTCTGGTTCTTTTCATCTTTTCCAACATGAACTGAGACAATCAAACAGTTTTACAGGTGGTCAAACCCATAACCCACAATGCCTTTCTCTGCACGGTGTTAGTTTCAGAGCTTCGGCAGGTGAAGAAGGACTACAGGTTGTGTTTATTTTCTCATGTTTTTATTCATTTATTTATGTTCTGGTGGATGTATTTATTCATCTTTGTCATTTTGTCAGAAGCGTCTCTTCACAGCAGAGAACATGAGTGAGTTTAGCCTCCGACCTGTAGTGCTTTGCTCTGCAGGATGACTCATCATCCCATCCGAAGCCACATCAACCTGTTGTATTCTCTGATTTTCTGATTTTATATTTTGTTTAATCTCGTGAAAGGCTCTGACAACGGCGAGCGGCTGTGGTGTCTCTCCTCTCGTCTTTGATGTCAACGCTGCTAAAAAGTCTTTCATCCTGATCAGAGAGGCAGTTTGTTCGGTTAAAGCCGTCGTTCAGCGTCTTTGTGTTTCCTGGAAAGACTGAACGGAGCCTCAGAACAACCTGAAGTCACATCATTACGGCATAAAGCCGACTTTGAAGCGCAGCAGATGTTCTTTTTTTGTGTAGGATTGTACTGACGTTCCTTCTAAAGCTTCACAGCTTCAGTTTCTCTTGGAGAAACACTCTCACACATCAGGTACAAAAACTAAATACTCTCTGGGTCTATTCCCAGCTGGGACAAGAAAACAAATAGAAGACACTCAACCTAAAAGCCATTTATAACTTAATTCCATTCACTAGTTTTTCTTATTCAGATAATAGACAAAACACAGAACCAGAAGTTAATAAGAACCAGTATCATTAGCACAGGGCAGGAGTTTTTAGATTTTATCTATTTTAAGCAAGTGCTTGTAAACTCAACACAACCTATTAAACTAAAACTAAACACAAATAGGTAATTCATAACTTTGTCTCTATTGTCCTGATAATTAGTGCCAGATTAAACAGTTATTAATTATTAGAAGATTATAGACCAATTTTGTATCTCTTGACATATGGAGGATGAAATATGATCTACCCATAAATAAACTAGAGTCACAGCTCAAAATGATCAACTAAAACAGAAATTAAACAGCAAAGCGGCTGTGTAAAGAGTCACTGCGCAGCAAAAACATTTTTTTCACTAGCAAGATTTTCAGAAAATATATATATAGCAAAGAAGAGAAGTTTTCAACCAGTATATATATTTCTTGCATAAAAATTAGGCTATTGATCAACATATCCATCTTTGTTTACCATGCCAGTAAATCTGAATGAATAATACTTTGGTGCTTATGGTTTCTATACATATATATATATATAGGTACTGATCTAATGGTGTGTAGCACGTCCATACTAACAACAGTACTTGTGTGCGTGATTGAGGCAGCTTAGAACTAGCTCAGCGGTGGGCTTTAAGAGGTTCTGTACAACCAAAGAACCAGACCCAGCGTCTCATTGAGACATGCGGCTCTTTGGCTTTTTCTGACATGATGATATGGATGATACATTTATTACAGCCATCTTCGAAAGTATCTGTCTCTCTGCATGTTTCACCTTGTGCTGCTGCAGCCATTATGTTAATGTGACACTCAGTTTAGACTTGTGTCGTGAGAGTGCTGTCTGGACATTAACGTCAAAGTGACCAACTGCCGTCAGATTAACATAAAAAGGCTCAAGGGGAACAAACGTACCAGTCACACACACACGGGGATCATTTGCCCCGCACGGACCCCCCGCCTTTCTCTCTTATCTCCTGTCCTTCCCCTCACTTCTTCTTTCTCTCACTCTTTCCTTTCCTTCACGGTTTCCTTCTTATTGATTCCCCTTCAGCAGTCCTCCCCCTCTCTCTCTCTATCAGTAAATCACCATCTTGACAGCTCTATCTTTACTCACTCCCACCAGTCACACACACACACACACACACACACAGTCACTTCATCAGTGAGTCCTTGTCCTTGTCCTGCAGTTTGATGCTATCACTCTCTTCTTCTCTCTTTTCACTGCCTGTTAGTTGTATTTTCTTCATAGTTGTATGGTAACGTGAAGCTCGCCCTCGTTTCCATATTTTTCAACACCATCGCTTTCTTTTACTGGTCTATTATTTCCGAATGATTTGCTAATAACTTCTAGGCACTTTCCTAGAAAGGACCACGTATTTTGGTACTGGGTACTGGGAAAATGCATACAGTGTGCAATTTGTACACTTCTCAATTAATAGACAGCCTTTTAATCAGAGCACAGCCAAAAATTTGAAATTTTGTCTACATACAATTCAACATGTACAGAACACTTCCAGTAATAAATGAATCCATATTTAGTTGGGTTTCAAATGAGCTTTCAAGGAAATCCCAAACCAGAGATATTTGCAGGACTTGCAGGTTTTTGTGGGTCTAAACTGATTTGGACCCATGAACAACCTCTGCATAAATTACTTTTCAAAAAAAGGAAACAGATCCAAAAGGCACTCAGACCTGGTCCATGACAGTCTTGGGATAAACCAGTGTGATTCCAGTCACATCTCAAGTGGCTGGCACTCACGAGAGAGGTAGAGCTGGTCGTCTACTAATAACAGGTGTTTCGATCCCCAGCATATTTTCAAGTGTCCTCCGGGAAGACACAAAACCTGAAATTGCCATTGATGTGTGCGCTATATAAATATAGCCGTGTATTTACTAGAAACAGAGTGGCCCTGTGAAGATGTGTTCAGCAGACACTCGGCTAGTCAGAAACGTGCTGCGACGCCACACTGGTTGGGAAACTCTGAGGCCCAGTTTTCTAATAGAGGTAGAAGGATACAGGGCCATTCAGGAGTTTAACTGATAAGATAAGAGTCAGTGACAGCGAGGTGGACAACAGCCAAGACCATCTGAACACACACACTCTCATAGTGGCTGACAACATGGGTTAGTGTCTGAATAGCAGACTGCATTAAGAATCTGGGCAGCGTCCAAAAACTCTGTGTGTGTGTGTGTGTGTGTGTGTTTAAACTCTGTGGCTGCTGCCTGCCAGCAGAGAGAGGCATCTTGATGGAAGGAACAAAGACTACGAGGGAAAAAAAGTGAACGATATCGTCCAAAAAACTAACACCCCCAATCTGTCACAGAGACGCAACGAAAACTATCAGACAGCAACATGGACCACTGACATGTTACTAAATAATCTAAGAAATATTCTGCAGGATGATGAAACAGTATCCTGAATTCATGGATAAATCCTGGAACCGTAAACCTCTGCCGTGTAGTATGCATGCACTGGAAAGTTATTTTAGACTTTGCGATCGGATTTAGCAGTGAGGAAATCCTCATGAGTTTAGCCTACAATCACTATCATGCACCTTAGAGACTTTTTCCGTGGATTGGGCGTATTCAGAAGAAAACACCAAGGTGATCTTTGACTTTTTGTGACTTTAATTTCAGGGAATGTCCGATTTTTATTGTTGTAAATTTGACACTTTCATCTAGGATTTTTTGTTTCTCAGTTTATGAACCCCACCCTGGCTCCGTATTTTTTGGACACCTAAAATAATCAATCTAAATATGTGAAAACACTAAAGAGAATTCAATTATAGCCTACAGATGAAACTGTCCCGTTAATTGACCCTTCGCTAAGCCCCCCCCCCCGAATACTCAGCTGGCCAATCACAGTGCAGTATAGGACTCGCTCTAACTGAGGTCCAACACTTTCATGGCTGCGCTCCATTCACTCTAATGCAAAAGGGGTCATTTTCTGGCTTTCTTCTGCCATATTTTTCCAAGATCTGGTCAAACTATGTTCCTGTAACTTTTAATAGTTACAGTCGCTACCCAGAGAGGTTGAAAGGAGAAGTACAATTTATTCTCTTTCCAAAACCTAAAATAAATCCAGAAAAATGTCGGCTGTGGATTGTTCCTAATGTAATGTTAGTTAGCTAACGCTAGCTAACTTCCTACTGAATGTAACGTAATAAAGCCCTACTGTTCTGCTTTTTAATGATTGTAATACTGAATAGAGGCCTACCCAGCTTTACATGAACAGTGTTGATCCTTAATATCGTTGTCTTTTGTCTCAATCGTCGGGGGATGCAGTGGTTCACTTGTACTGTGTGATCGGTAGGCTTTAGCTGCTATCTTTCATTTTTTCACGTCCGTTTGAATCAGTCTGAGTCAGTTTGGCAGCCTGAATACAACCTTCAAACATATAATGCAACTGCAAAACTGTCTGCTTCTCTCTAAGATTGGGCATGGCTTAGCAAAAGGTCAATTAATTAAGATCTCCTCCCTAAAATCACAGAGGCTGCAGGGCTCGCTGTAAGAACGCAGCCTAATGCTGCTGTGTTAAGAATAACTTCATTTCAGCTGCAACCGCAGTGGAACAAGTCAGGATGAGATCTAAAAATATTTTATCAAGTGGTGTGTATTAATATCCTACTTCTCATCATTAACGCTGTGTACAGATATGGTGTGTCCACGTATACAGGGTAAGCAGTTTAGAGAGGCAGCATAAATTGCCATGGA